ACTCTTCTATCCATATCCATGAACAACTTATATCCAATGAACATGGTTAGAGGGGAAGACAATACCATTTCCCCCAGATACCTAGATATGCACACGTTTCCACAAAGGACAACAGGCTCAATTAATGCCTCTATAAACAGAGCTCCGGAGTTTAATTTGCATTATTCCCTTTTTATTATTTATTGGCAACATTTAATTATCACACCCTTCACCAAACGTAATTAAAGATTTTAAACAGCCTGGATGACTCAATTAGAATGTTTTTAAAAAGTTTTATTTTGCTGTGTGCCTCCATTAAATTAAGGTTCAACTTTTAGAGGAAGTCTTTAATATTGCAACACATTAAGCTTACTCTGTGATGAATGAATCACCTCAGGCAAACGTTGGCAAGCTCTCCCACTCAAGTACTCTCATAACCTGTTAAGAATGGCATGTTTAGGTTTTAAATCTGTTCTTATATCTCTATCTCTGTCTTTGTCGTGGTCTTTCAGTAGGCCCAGAGGCACAACCTGAGGCTCTTCGCTTGATTGCATGCGTAAGTGTTGGCTTTGAAAGGATGCATAACAACTCAAGATTGTATCAGAAGAACACTGTAGGAGATGACCCAGTTGAGCCTGAGGGAGGGGGTCAAGTAAGTAATCAGTCATGAGTCCCTTTTGTGCCCACAAGGAATCTAAGTCCAGTCCATCTTTAATTCCTTCTACTCTTATCTCCCGCTAATGTCCCTTGCCTATTAGTAGTTCAGATTCTTGTAGAGAGCTTAAGCTTGCAATAAATCTTCATACCCATTTGAACTGCCTGAATCTTCTGATTTTCCTTGCATTTGTCAAACACTTATATCAGCTTCAAGACAAGATCTTTGAATCATGCAAAATCCATGGCATGGAATTGCAAACTATTTTGAACCATCCAATTTCTTAGAAAACCAGTATGGTTGCAGGCAATCTGAGAAATTGCTTCCAACTGAAGATAAAACTTTATAGGACTAATTTATTTATTTTAACCAGCATAGATGAATGTGCAGGTGCAAACATCCTAAGACTTTGATAGAAGAGAGTATTTGTAGCTCAGGGTTACAAAACTGTGGGGTCCTTGGTGCACTCTAAGCTTAGTGGATTTTTTAAATGTTTCATTACCAAACTAGGTAACATCATCAGTGCACTGGTCAGAAAACCACCAACTCAGAGAGCAACTTGGACCCTGTGTTAACACTTCTTTTGCAGAATAAGGAAATGGTGTTGTATTGCCTCGAGACCATTTCTAGAGCAAAAATGTGGCAAAGTAGTTTTTCGGTTGCTGGTTCTATAGGTCTTCATAAATAAAAAATAATGAAATATATATTTTACTTCTTTTATGCTTTTGAATCCTGTGGGAAGAAGAGCTGGATAATGAATTAAATCTCCTATTATGACATTTTAATGGAATGAATTACAATCAATAACTTTCAGGATGACTTTGCACAATGTATGCTTTTTTCATATACATTTTGTTGAAATGTATTACTCCATCCTGAATTTTTAATGTAGTTTTACTTAGTGCCAAGCTCTCTGCATGATCAAGGAAGCAAGAATAATAACCATTTCAGCGAGGGAGTTTTAATGCAAGAATTAAATAAGGGACAGAATCAAGAAAGAATTAGGAAATTACAGCCATTTTACTGCCAAGGTAATTATCTAGTATCTTTGAACATTTAATTGTAGTGTGTATTTTTAATTGTATTTTTTGAATTGTAAGCTGCCCAGAATGACTGATTGAGATGGGCAGCTATACAAATTGAATGAATGAATGAATGAATGAATGAATGAAAATTTAAATCTCTTCTTCCTTGATTTTTTACAAACTGACTGACCCTTCCCTTTAAGAGGGAGGCTCCAAATTAAGCTGCTGTCCCTTCCTTAGTTGTTTATGTCTAGTGATTTTTGCAACCTCCACAGTCTCTTGCATCAAACAAAATCCTAGTTATTAGGCAACTTAAGTTAAAATCTTGGCGTTCTAAGATTAAATAGCACAGGATTGACTGATGCTGGTGGCAGTGATGGTTGTGACTAGATGTCATCTAAGGGTGATTTTCATCTTAACTGTGGCTTAGCATAGACCCATTCTTTGTGAACTACCTAAATATTTGTCTCACCATCTGAGATCACCTAGTTAACTGTATCTATGTTGAACAAGAACAAAATTCAGGTATCTCTCAAAGTTCATCTTGTATCTGACAAAGATCATTAGATTCTCACAACTACATAGTGAGTTTTAGTTAGTATACTCTTAAGTGTTATCTTGGGTTTTTTTTGGTCTCCCACAGTTGGCCTATTACAAGTAGTCCTTGACTAACAACCACAATTGAGCCCAAAATTTATGCTGCTTAGTTAATTAAGTGAATTTTGCCCCATTTTACGACCATTTTTGCCCCAGTTGTTGAGTGAATCACTGCAGTTGGTTAGTTCCTCAGTTGTTAAGTGAACCTGGCTTCCTCATTGACTTTGCTTGTGAGGTTGCAAGAGATGATCACATGACACCAGGGGACTGCAACCATCATAAATATGAGTCAGCTGTAAAGCGTCTGAATTTTGATCACATGCCTATGGGATGCTGCAAAAGTTGTCAAAAATGGCTCTAAATCACATTTTTTAACTTCAGACAGTCACTAAATGAACTATTGTAACTCAAGGACTACCTGTATTTGAATTTTTGTAACAAGCTTTCCCATTTTTTTTGTTAAGTAACTTCACCTTAAGTTTTGTTTGAAAAGGCACAGTGTAAATCTCTAAAAGTACATGATATTGGTTATTACAGGATGCAATATAAAATACTCCCTTAAAATAATACCAATAATAATAAAATAGCCGTGGAAAGCAACTATAATATTAATAGCCTTTGTGGAGTGAAAATACTAAGAATGTAACCAAGGGATTATTTTGATGCATCAATATAAACGATAAAAGCTAGAGGATGATAAAATATCAGCTCGGTATTTTCAATTATTCAAAATTCAGGTAAATGTGTGGGAGTTTCCATGGCTTATTCCCCATCTGTGTGAATTTGATACATAGCCCTCCATATAACATATTTAATCCATAACTATTTCCATGGAGTTTCATTGTAACAGCAAAGGATTCGGCAATCCCAAAGATGCTTTTTCAAAAGGCAATTGGACTCTGATTTTCTGAACTTGAACTGAAGAAGCTTCTTGGATGAAAAGTGAAACGTCTTCAAGGACAAACAAAGTCCAGTTGCCTTTTGAAAGAAAAAAAAAAGCACCTTTGGGACAACCATGACTTGGATGGCTGAGAATCTCCACAGACAAAGGATTCGGCACTTTCACAGGAGGTCTTGCCTTAATGTATCATATAGTGGAAGACATTCAAAAGTCATGGTCGTTTCCAAACATGTATTTTATTTTATTTTTCAAACATTGCCTTTAAAGATCAATAAAAGAAAAAGAAAGAAAAACAACATACTGCCCCAGAGATGATGGGAAGGGAAGATTGGCATCTCCTGTGGAACCCTGTTTCCTATTATGGACTTCTCTCTTTTCTTCACCTCTCAAAGTTGGTGGAACAAGCAACTTTGCTCATAAGGCATTTCTAGTGGCTGATGCAGAGCTTGGCCCAAAGTAGGGCGAAAAGACACAAGTCAATGTTAAACCCATCTGCTGCATGGACCTCCTTGCAAGTGTTCATGAAAACCACAGTGAACCAACAACAGACTCCAAAGGATAACATTTTTGGTGGCACTTGTCTTCAGTTGAAAATGCTTTATTTCACCGACTTCTTAATAAAAAGGAAGGGGGAGCACCATGGAATTTGTAATACTGATAAATATGTATACTGTTATTAATATGGATAATGTTTATCTCTATATACAAAAATTTCTGTACACATTTTATAGACAGGATGAGCATTTGGGAGGAAGGTGAAGAGTTGATGCTTTTGAGAGCACTTTGGATTTATTCTTTTAAATGCTTGCCCTTGTTGAGGGAGGGGGGAAAAACACTTTTTGAAAAATTAAATGTCCTGCAAAATGAACCTGTCCTGGAATGTAAATATTTTTGATTTTTGACTTTTTCCTTAACAATGGAAAAAAACATTGAGTTTTCACACTGCAATGGATGAAAGGATACCACTTAGGAAATACAAGGCGTCTGAACGATGATACAGCAACCGATCCATCAAAAATGAAGGCATTTGACATTTATATTCAGACAAAATCAGTTCTGTGTTTTACTCATCCCTGGAAATTCTTTTTTCCCTGCATTTTCACAGGTTACATCAGCCTAACAGAATCACCTGATGGATGAGCTGGTCCCAGCTCCCATTAAATTGATTTCTTTCATCAGTGATCATTTATGAATGAAGCAAATCAACAAGTTACTTAAACAAAGACTCTATCCCATTATTAGTGCATAGTCAATACAAATGGACAATCTTTTATTTCCGTTACATGCCAATTTCACACATATTTTTTTATATTTAGGATCCTATTCCATGTATGCACTGATTTGCAGGGCTTTTTGTAAAAAAAAATCTTCTCAAAATATGTACTTAAATACACGTTTCTTTTCAAAATAGATTTAAAATGTACATTTTCCTTCAAAATACACATTTAAATTTCATAAACAGTGTTGCAACATTTGGTGAAGTGTGATAACTAATAGAAAGCAAAGCTTTGCTCTTTATACAATACTTGAAGGACAGATCAAGTCATTCCATACAGGAATTTGGAAATATCAATTCCATTAAGATGGAAGAAGAAGAGGTCAGAAAATCTTAAAACATTGTGGCCATGATTAGTTGTTCTCTTAAGATGGAAACACAACTGGATTCTTTAGCTGTATATCTGTTGCCATGTTGTTCCTTCCTCAGGAAATAAATCTACTCGATAATGCTGCTTTTACTTATTTATCCACATAACATAAATGGTGGAGCACCATTCCTATGTGCACCCATTATTCCAGGGGTCTCCAATAAGACTTGTGGACTTCAATTCCTAGAATTCCCCAGGAAGGCCACAGGTTTTAAAATTGCAAGATTGGAGACCCCTGTGTTATTCTCTAGGGCAGGTGTGTTAAGTTGGAAATTTGCAAATTTGCAAACAAATGGGACTTTTCTCCATTTGATACTATAACATCTGGATCACAGTGCATCTTCAAATCATTTTAGTCAAAGATCATCACCTAAGCAGTCCCTTTTCCTGTGCATGTACAGCAACACTTTTGACAACTGCCTGTACAATCCTTCCTTCAATCCTTTAATGGTCTTTGAAACCATACATTCTTGAGAAATCTCATAGGAGCCCTGGTAGCGCAGTGGTTAGAATGCAGTACTGCAGGCAAATATTTGCCTTCAAACTGCCCACAGTATAGAATTCGATCCCAATGGGGTCAAGGTTGATCCAGCCAACCATGCTTCCGAGGTTGATAAAATGAGGACTCAGATTGTTTGGGGGCAATATGCTGACCTTGTAAACTGCACAGGGAGTGCTGTAAAACACTAAGGAAGGGTATGTAAGTCTAAGTGTTACTATTATTGCTATATCTCCCAGGATATTTCTTCCCAAATCTGCTTCCTTGTCATTCAGTCTCATTGGCAGTAATGCTGATCTGTGTTTTGTAAGGTAACCATTCATAGAATTGTCAATATCTTTTATAGTCTGCCATTTGGCGTTTATTATTTGGGAGGCATCTAAGCACAGCATAAGTCCCTTTTTTTCCCTCTTGATCTCTCATCTTGTTTTGTTTTGTTTTCCCTTCAGGCTAAATGAAGGCAATTCTTTCAAGCATTCTTCACAGGACTTTTTAAAACACGCCTTCACTCTGGTGAACATCATCTCCATTTGGTCAATGCTTATCTAAAAAACTGTTGGCCGGGGTCTGCATTATTTATCTGGTTATTTCCAAATCCCAAACTCTCTCATCTCTTGTACTCTGGACAGTTTCCAAAGAGGAAAACTCTTATTTCTTCTGCTTTGTGACTACATTTCACTCTATCTTCTTATACACACCTATCATTTTCAGCTAAGGGATTGGCATTCTAATAGGAACACTTAAATCTTTGAAATATATTTTCCCCCTAAAGTGCAAGAAAACTTGAGCAGAATGGATGATCCATACAGAATGCATACATGCATGCAGGCGGCAGCTGCTTCCTTAAAAGAGGTATTTTCCTGATAATAGCTGAAGAAACAAGAATGGTTCTTACAAAGTGGTATCACCCTTATTCTTTAAAACAAAGCGTGTGTTTCCCTTTTAGAACTATTCCCTCCTCTATGCAGAATTGTCTTGTTTCAAGGCAATAGGTCAAACAAATATATCCATAGACCCATCTCATTCCCAGTCAATCTTACTTGACTAAATTTGGTGACATCCATCAGGAAAACTTTCTAATGGAATTAGCAACCGGACCATAAATAATTCCTTTGTGGATGTGTCACTTTGCCATTTAGGAAAATGCAGCAGAGGATGTGGGAACATATCTTGCCATCATGGGCTGTGCTGGCTGGGGATAATGGGGAATGATGTCCAATAATGCATAAAAGAGAAAACCACAAATTCCTCAATCTTTTATACCGGAACCTATAGAAGAGTTTTGATTTAAATAGCTAAAGACTTTTCCTATCTTCATCCCATCAGCCTCTCCAAGGTAAAAGAGGGGTGTGTAGAAAAGATGAATATGAGGACTGGAATATTCTCCCCGAGATTTTAAGTTAAGCCACAGGGGAAGAAATGACTCATTTAGAAGCTCTTACGGTCTGTACTTTTGAGTCAGAAAATCTAAGCTCTGGTAACACCTCTCAAAATAGCAGCTCAGGTGATGCGATAATGAAAGCAACAGATTCTATGCTCAAAAACCGATGTCTTACCCATAAAATAATGTCGGTTTTTCTGAATATGAGCAGTAACATAAAAAGGAGCTTGTAAAATATACTCACAAGTGAAATGAGCGCCTCCCTTTCTGTGTTGGACCATACCCCGTTTGTAAAGTTAAGTACTTCTATAGTGTAGGTCAGTTCTTGCACAACAGAGAAGTTGATTGTTAGACTATTTAGTTCAGGGTCTCCAAGCTTGGTAATTTTTAAGACTTATGGACTTCAACATTTGCATTCTTTTGAACTGCTAGGTAGGTAGGAGCTGGGGCAAGTAACAAGAGCTCACCCTGTTGTGTGGCACTCTCGTGTTGAACCCAAGCTGTCAGCTTTCCAGCTGACAAATTCAGCGTCTTTAACTGCTGAGCCAACACACCCCTCTATATAATCTAGCCTAAAACAAATATATATGGGCCTTTTCCAGAGCCTTGCTTTGATGCCCTCCCATCAGCTCTACTGGTTGGAAGATTTCATGGGTCCTTATTTGAAGAGACTTTGCCCTTGTGGATTCAAGAAGGAAGAACTCTCACCCATGACCTCATTCAGGATGCTTTTTAATGATGTTCTCTGATCGCCCCAATCTCTTCCAAATATGAGATCCACACTGATAAATTTTATGCTTATTATTTTTTAAGTGATGCTAACCACATACTTGCATTTCAGATGGCCAAATATCTTCACCAAGGTGCAAAACTGTGCAAAACTTTCAGTTAGATATGTTGTTTTGTAGTCCTGTTGTTTCTTCCCCTTTCCTAATAATGAATTGTTATGTCAAACTATATTATGTTATTGTAAAAGATGGTCAAAGATTGTATTAAAGATTTGAACTTAAAAAAAATTATCATGGAATCAGAGAAATAATCATTTCCAACTGACAATTTCCAGAGGCATTGAAACTACAGCTCCCAGGACAATCAGCAGTCAGAATTCTAGGCGCTGTAATGCCAACATAACTGAAGGTTGCAAAACTGGGGAATCTTCTGCTCAAAACTGTCTGGCTGTAGCAAAATTGTAAAAGGGGATGTGAAATAGTCTTTCCAAATATAACCATTCTTCAAGTGGTCTCCCTTGCTCTATCATCTACAAATAGATACATATCTTGAAAATAAGCACCAGGTTATTCAGCTTCAATCAATCTGAAAACAACACCTTGCTTTCTAATAAAATTTATATACATATAAAAACCCATCACCTTGTTTTCCTTGACAGAATATGATACACGAGAATTGCATCAGAACCTGCCTCTTCAAACCTTTTAAAGGTATTAGCTTTAGCATCAACCCCACCAAAAAGAGGGTTTGTCTAATTAGAAGTACAGCCCATTACAGCGGTTCCACGGTATTCAGTGTTAATTGGTTCTGCGAGGTGGGACAGGTACTAAAAAGTACAAGTGCCAAACAAGTCAGGTGACTTACCACATGAACTTTGTTTTGGTTGGGAAAAACTTTCTGCCTATCCTTTTACCCATGTCAGTGACCTTCCCAGCATGGCTGACTTCCTGCCCAGTCTCTGTAGCCATCCTCCTTTTCCTTTTGCAGTGTGCTGAATACCAAAGAAACTACAAGTACCGGGACATTTGTGGCACAGTGGTTATAGTGCAGTCCTGCAGGCTACTTCTGCCGATCACCGGCTGCCAGTAATTTGGCAAATTGAATCTCACCAGGCTCAAGGTTGACTCAGCCTTCCATCCTTCCAAGGTGGGTAAAATGAGGATCCAGATTGTTGGGGGCAATAGGCTGACTATGTAAACCGCTTAGAGAGGGCTGCAAAGCACAGTGAAGCAGTATATAAGTCTAAGTGCCAGTGCCATTTTTGCATCAAAATGCATCGAGTTAATCAAGGAGAGAAGCAACCTAGAACTTAGGAGAAATTTCCTGACAGTGAGAACAATGAATCAGTGGAACAACTTGCCTCCAGAAGTTGTGGATGCTCAAACACTGGAGATTTTTAAGAAGAGATTGAACAACCAGTTGTCTGAAATAGTATAGGGTTTCCTGCCTAAGGAGGGGGGTTGGACTAGAAGACCTCCAAGGTCCCTTCCATCTCTGTTATTCTGTTCTGTTTGGTTCTGAGTACCAACCTTGATGAGTTTTGAAGCAGTTGCATACCAGGGTATCACTATATTGAGAAATTCCCAAGGGTTCACTTAGAGGGGAAACTTCTAAGCCAATGTTTCTCAACCTTGGCAACTTTAAGGTCTTCAACTTCAAAGGTATTTCCAAGTATATCATTTAAAGTTGACCAATCATTAAAGCTAAAACTTCTTTTCTTCTCTTATTTTCGCAATGAAAGAAGTGACTTTCCATAAGCAGAATATTTCTCTGAGCTCCCATATTCTGTATTTATATAAAACTGTATGCCAGGCTTAGCCTTTTTAACGCGCTAGTTGTACAAACTCTGCAAAAGCGCACATGGCATCTGTCTTTGCTTTAAACTCCAGACACCACATGTTGCTAGTCCCGTTAATCAATCTTCATCTTCACATTCACATCCACAGGAGGAAGGAAAAGAAAAAGAACAGCCCTGCTGTTTCAGCCTCAGGTTTCCATCTGTTCTATCTTTCGATAATTCCATTCTGCTCACTTATTTAAATCTGGCACAACTACATGTTATACCTGGGCCTCTGAGGATTGTCTCTTAACTATACTGAACCAATTCCATTCTTACTTTTCCACACTGGCTTCAGGTGATGAAACATATAGCATCTGATAATACTTGACTTACCTACGATTTACATACTTGCCTCTGACCTTGGGATCAGTAACAAAAGACATCACACACAATCATCATCCTCATTGTGCTCGGCTACAAAAATCTAGGACTGTCCTCTCAAACTTGAAGTACTTGGAAAGTAATGGCCTAGGGCTCCTCAGAAGCATCATGTCAGTTAGAAGCAAAATTTAGTTTTTTAATGAATTCTTGCTCCGTCACCTAAGATGTTTCTCAACTTAGCTCTTGAAAAGAACTTTCTGTCCCATCACCCATTTGGGATTACATTTATGAACACTTTATGCTATTATACACATTCCATCTTCCTTCTGAATGTTTCCATACCTCTTATCTCTTTGCCCTACTATATTTAGCTGCTCCTTCTGGAGAGGCATCGTTTCACTTTCCCCAGAATTCACTGTGGAAGAAAAGGCTTTATATCCTCCCCCGCCCCCTCCACTTTCTCCTCCAAAAAAAGGAAGAGATTCCAAAACAGCAGGTGCCACTGATGGTGCCACTGACTCCTTCCATTCTCTCCTTCCCAAAAAGTCCCGAGATGTGACATTTGGGCATTCTGGAGAGGAAAAAAAAATCCAGAAAATACAACCTGGTAGATGCATGAAATAATATAAGCTGCCGTGTCATTCCTAAAAGTATCGGCCTGGGTTTCCATTCATATTGATGCTTCGTTCTCCCCATTTTTTCCCAGAAGGAATGCATCATTTTTATATCTGTTCTGTGAACCAACAGATCTTCTTTCCCTTGGCTAAGTCAATCAATATCCTGACCTAGAAAAATCTTCTTCCTTTACTGCATCTATCAACACAGTAACTAATGCTCTTCGTTGACAAGACTAAAAGTATTTTGAAAAAAACAAACAAACAGATTCATGGCCTGAAATCCAAAGATTTCAGAGGAAGGGGGTCAAAATCACGGGTGCCGCCAGGCACCTGAAGCCCCCCCCTCTCTTTTTTAATGTGTGTTCTATGTCTCTCGTGCACCAAAAAGGAGCAGGGTCTCAATCACTTGAATGTCAACTGCCACTTCAATGCTGTTTACTCCCTCATTATGGCTCCAGATGAAAACCATTCGTTTACATCAGTGTGATGCATTTCATAAAGGATACAAAGGCACATTAACAACTTTGCATTAAAAATAAAAACTTTTGCACATGGATTTTGTCTACATCTTGTTGCCTGAAAACTGGAGGCTTCGGGCTTTTGAAGTGGAATGGCCAAATGTTTTGAACAGGCAGGTCCTCCACATTTGGTAAAAATTTGCTTAGCCTATCTGGAGTGTCTGCGTCTCTTTAAACAAATGAATGGCGCACCTCAATTTTCATGCAGAGCACATCCCCTGCTCTAATGCTATTCTGCATTAAAAACTCCTCTAGTAATTATCTCAACAGATACCTTGCACCAAGAGTGGGAGATGTAGAAATAATCTGTTTAGCTTGGCTGATGGAGCAAAAGAAAGAAATGAGACCCAAGGTCTTTGATTCTTATAAAACCATACCTGCGCACCCTTCATATTCTTATGCTGGCACCTTTCAACACTAACTCCTGTAAGTTCTGACTCCAAGCCAAACTGCACAGATAAAGCTACCTATTCCAAACCCAACCAGCTCACCTTTCCAAAGCATAAACGTCTTCCCACCACATTAGTCATAAGTGCCGAAAACAGCTATCTGTCACTGCGTTTTCATTCCAAAACCGCCACCAACACACACAGGAAAGTCTACACTTGACTCTGAAACAGAAATATCTGGATTAATAAGGACCTTTCCTTTCTCCCTCACGCCCCTTTGCTTAAACGTGCTTATGAGCTGATTCTCTTCCGGCTCACATGCTTGTTGGTGACCTGTGAAGTCTGCTTCCGTGCATGAGCTATCGGGGCAAACCTGTTGAAGGGATTGCACTACTGAGAGTTTCACGGGTTAGGTAGCCCTACTTGGAAAGATGCCTGACAGGGGCTGCAGTCTGCAGGCACCATCATTCTGAAAATTTTCTGACAGGGAGAACAATTAATCAATGGAGTTGTGGGTGCTCCATCACTGGAGGTTTTCAAGCATAGACTGGACAACCGTTTGAGTGGGATGGTATAAGATCTCCTGCCTTCAGCACAGGGTTGGACTAGATTCTATGGTCTAAGTAAGGCTCTTCCAAAGCTTGTTTGGAAGAAAACACTCCAGTGTATGGTTACGGTGGTTATGAACAATATCTGAACACCTTCATTTGAAAGAAAGATACACATGTGCTTTCTTCCTCTTAGATGACTGGGGTTTTGTTCTGTTTTTACAGCAGTTTTCCTGCCACATAGCAATTTATAAACTCTCTTTGGAGGCAGGCACTCATTTGGAGACAAGAAAGAGGTGGCTATAAAGACAGAATGAAAACTGTACAAGTCCAATGAGCATTTGAGTCCCAGGTTGCTTTCCCAAA